TTTTCCTAATTTACCATTTGTTGAAGATAATTACAAGTATTGTTAGGGTCATTGAGGGGAGCAGGGTGGTGGGGTGGCTCAGACTATCAATTAACAGAAAGATTGTAGTTCTAATCCAGATTAGGGCATTTTTGTGTGGAGTTTCCAGGTTCTTCCTGTATCTCAAGTTTTTTAAGTACCCTGGATTCATCCCACAGTCTACAAACATGCATCTAACATAGGGTTTTATTTGCACTGCGGGAGTTTAGCCTTAAGAGTGGCATTTCATGTTGTTTCTTCCCTGGGAAGGCATTATTGTCCAGTCTTTTTGCCGTTTGGCAGCTGGCATAGGCTGAACACAAGAGAATAAATCACGTGTGGATAAATAATTAAAAGAACAAGGAAGTAAAAGTATGATGTACTTGTACTACAACTGTTAGCAAGGGTCATAGGTTTATACAGTTGTTGATCTGGCAGGGCACATAGTTGTGGCCAAATTTTGTATTTTATTAAATTATTTTTACATGTGAAAGATTAAGTCCATTTGTCTGTCATCACTGCTAACCATTTAAATTAGTAGATGAAGTGACCCCCCCCCCCCCCCCCCCCAGTTTCCTTAGCCTTACTTGTTTCTTTTTTTTTTTTTTTTACCCCAGAGGTAAAACGCGATTCTTGTTATAAATTTTTTTCTTTACATTAAAATCTTACGCTTTTCTCTCTTGCAGTTGTTACTTGTGTCCATTTGAGTGTGTCCCTGATCAACCCCTCCACCGCTGACTGACTGATGTAGCTATAACCTAATTTTAGTTTATGAGGTGTGGGACCGCTGGGTGTTACCCTAGCTGCAATTTTAGACAAGGAAGCTGGGAACAGCGTTCCTCACGGGGCTCCTATCTGTCGTAATTATCTCACTGTCAGGGGTTGGACAGGGGGCTCGGACCTTGCTGACTCCCTCTAGCTTCCTTTGGCTCCTCACGTGCACCCACCAGGAACTGTGAGGCCCAGCGTGCAGTCCAGCATGACCTGACAGAGCCTTGGTCGCTGCACCTCAATTGGACAGATTTTAAGGAAAATGTTATCTCATGCAGACTGTTCAGTGTGGGGAGATCCAGGCTAAAATCAGACAAGACAGCACAACCCAGTTTGTTCAAATTTAGGTCCTAAAGTATTCTCCTAAAATCACGTTTGTTTTTCCAAAGCACAGGATTTATTTGAGATTTGGTTTAGTATGAATAAATAATGAACAGCAGGCGTTCTGTTTACACAAGCCTATTTAGTCATCTGGATGTTCACTCCTCTGTTAGGATGTGACCATTTTTTGTGGTTGAATCTTCTTTTTGGGGTGTTGTCAGTTTTGTTTATTTAACTGACTTTCTCATTTTCTGGTAGACTTACCATCTCTATTAAATGTGTTTATTGAACCTGTATGAAGGTGGAAGATCAGCATAATAGCTGCTGATGACATGTTCAGTTTCTCTGAATTTTTTTATTTTTTATTTTTCATTTAGCCTTTATTTATCCAGGTTAGTCTCATTGAGCCACGAGAACTCATTTTCAAGAGAGACCTGTTTTAGTCTGTTTTCATCACGGCAACTTTCAGACATGTCATTAAACTTGTTTCAGGTGTGTTTGTCATGAACCGCAGCCGATGTTGTCTTTAATATCTGTTCTCCACATCAACAGCAGATGTCCCTCCCCCATGACTCCCCTCCTCACCCCAGCCTCTCCATGCAGCTTCTGTCACACACAGCTGTTTCTCCCTGCCCGCCACAGATTTGATCAATATCACGGCTTTTACTGGTTTTATCTTTACGTTTCTCTTGTCACTTTCTAATTTGTTAAACGTGTGTGTGTGTCTCACTTGTAGCAAGTGAGGGACATTAACATTATATTTTTGGCTTTTATCATTGGATCAAGTGGGAGATTAAATATATGCAAGAAGTTTGTAGTTTAAAATGATTTAAACAATTAGAGAAAGTGTTTGCAGACATTTAAAAGCTGTTGCAGCTGGAGAGCTTCCAGGTAAAACAACATAAACAATTAAAAATAATTTAAGACAAAATAGAGAGTACCAGAACATGTTGATTGTTTTTATTCAGCTTTTTGTTAAAAGTCAAGTGAGTACAATCAAAATAGGAACATTGTATATGGGAGCCATTGACTGGATGAAAATTGTATTTACTGATAATTTCAATTTGTGCTTAGTTTAAGTCCAGGGCTTACAAATGCACTTAAAGTCCAAATTAAAGTGTTTTGAAGGTAACATCAATCGAAATAAAGTCATTAAAATAAAAAAATAAAAAATCTGTATGCCTTTTTATAATTGTCTGTTGTTGTTGCTGTTGTCCATTGTTGCCATCATTCTTTCTTGAAATCAGGTCTCTCTTGTAAATGAGTCCTTGAGGCTCAGTGGGATTAACCTGTCTAAATAAAGGTTGAATGAATAAATGGTGCTTTTCTTAAAGTCTTGCATTGTTTTGTTTTTGTCACATTAAGTTTGAATTGATATTAAAAGATAAAAAATTACTCTCTTCTGGATTTTCTGTGATCACTCTGAAGTGGGACGTCATCTGTGCCAAACAAAGGATCACGGACAGAGAAGTTAATAGAAAGTCAGTGGCGATTTTAACCTCTTTTTGGGGGTGCTCAAGCACCCCTAAATTTTAACTTGCTGGTAGTACCCCTGAAAAATTAATAAGCCATCATTACGATTTTGTAAGGAAACTCAGTTCTCAAACCTTAGATTCACCAAAATATTCAATACATTTTGAATAAATATGGAATAAATGATGATATTTAAACGGGCCAGTAAAATCTATGATTTTTTTTATTTTTGCACAAATGGGATCCTCTACACTATCTGTCAATCAATCCAGTCGGATTGTCAGCAACTGACCTATCTGTGATCTGAATTTGTCCCCAAGTGAAACACCCCTTACCTGTGGGAGCTGGGGTGGGAGGGAGTAGAGTTTGCTCTATTCACACAAGGGTAGCTGTTGGTCAGGCTACTTCTTGTTGTGCCATGCTCTCTAAAATAGTTATTGAATCAAGTGTTTACTTATGTAGATAAACATGTTTAACAATCCATTAAAATACACTAGAATGCAGGAAATGGCATCTACTTTATTCAAAATTTTCTGGAGGGGGACCCCCAGCCCCCCACATCAGTGTGTTCCCCCACTTTACAAATGTGCCAATGGCCATCACATTGTTCAAGCCAAGAGCCATTGTCAACACTGGGGGCTAAGCACTCCTAAAGGTCAGATTCTAGGATCGCCCCTGTAGCAAGTACAGTAAGCCTAAAATAGTTCAGTGTGTGCTTCTATTAGTTGTAGAAAACAATCTAACAACAGATAATTTGTTCTTCACCAGCCCAACAGTCAAGAAAGTGCATCTTTCCACACACAAGTTACATTTTTGTTGAGAAATAGTGATATTCTTAAGAGGTGCTTTCCAAAGAGCAACATTTTTTAATGAATACATAAATCGGGATGCTAAAAGCCTATTTTGCGCATATGCACCATCTACTTTTGCCTTAACAACTAAAATAGACCCTTTTAAAGTTTTTTGAGTAGTAGTATGCCACATTTGCGTATGTGCTTCTCCTTCACAGTTTTGTCTGACACATGTGAGGCTCGCGTAAAAACCCATCAACAAAATTATAGTTTCTCATCAAGACCTCCTCCTCTCATGCCTGAGCTCGATGTCTTTCATGTTGATAGTCGTGCAGAGTGTTTGTTGCAGTATACCTAGATGATTTCAGGACAGGTGCAAAACAAATCCACCCTTTGATACAGTTTATTGTTCAGTCTTATGCAGGATAATGATGTAGAACATTGATGTTTATACCTACAGGAATTTGTTTAGTTTCAAATGGTCTTATTAATTACCATAATGGGTATACTGTACTTGTATACTAAATAGGCATGATCCTAACATCAGCGTTTTATCTGGAGCTTACTGGGGCCAACAATACAAGTGAACTGAGACAGGCAGTTTACCCAAGAACAATAAAGAGCCCATGAGCAAACCTTTATAAGGGCAATTTTCAGTTCATTTATAACCCTCATGGGCCCCACATATAACTGTTAGCTGGGTCATAGTACAGCTGCTGTTGGCCTTCTGCTGGATTGTCAATAACTGTTAACTAAACCGTCATCATTATAAAGTCATTTCACTCAAAAGGACAGATGTTCAGGGGAAGACGTGGACCAGCTAGTCAGAATGTTTTTTTTTTACATTTGATGTTTACACGTGGGCTTTACAGTTGTGTTTTCTTCACAACTTTGGTTGATGAAGCTCTTAAATGTGTTAAGATCAATATTGCATGTATTTCAATATAACCACAGGGACAAAGTGGAAACAACGTAACGAATGACAAAAATAAAAGAAGCAGGATCGTACCGAGTTTCACATTGTCGGTGCTGATAAGCAGAACCATCATGGAAATAATTGCAATGCAGTGTGTCTATAACTCATCTTAAACATTTCTCAAGGATTCAAGGTTCTTTATTTGTCATTTGCACCCCATGTGGTACATGTGGTGGAACAAAATTATGTACACGGGGTTCCAGTTACAGGCAACAATAAAATGTAAATGAAAAACAGTAATAAGATCTAAGATATGAACTAAGAAAAACATCAACTAAATATACATTAAGCACTAGTAGCATAAAATTCTGGTGTGCAGTCCAGGTGTAAAAATGGCTGTAAAGTATAACATGAGCTATAATGCTTTTTTCTATTTTAGCCATTGCTTGTTGTTTTTATTACCTGTATGTGAACCCAAACTTAGTCTAAAGGCCAGGGTCATGTTGTCGAGCACTCTTAAGGAAGAAAACACGTTTTTATTAGATAGAAACAAGTCCTACATGATGCATTAGTGTCCAAAATAACCAACCAGTCAGTGATATTTCTGCCTCTGATCTGAGTGTTTTTTATTCAACTACAATACATCCTAACTGTTCATGGCCATTAGTCTTTTTAAACTTACTCTTCTCTTTTTGTTATTTGCATCTCAGGTTTGTGAGCAGCCATGACAAAATCCTACGAGTTCAACTGGCAGAAGCATCTGCCAGAGTTCATGCAAGAAGGTGCCTTCTTCGACAGGTTTGATGAGGTAAATATAAATCTGTTTCTTCTCTGGTCAGTAATGTAATTGATTAGCAAAGGTAGAACCTCTGCTGTTTTATCTTAGGATAGATGGTGGAGGTTAGACCTGTGTCACATACTTTATTCATATATTCATTCATTCAAAAGAGACAAAACAATTTAATTAAAAAGAAAAAAAACATTGAATGATAAGGGTGCAAAAAGAAGAACAAAATTATTATAATATATGCCCCTTATTTAAAAATAAAATAAAATAACTACAAACAGACAACAACTTAGGACTGAACAATTTCCAAAGTGACAACAAAAACATCAGGCATTCTTCATATGGTATCATACTTTCTCAACAATTTTATCTTAGTCATTTAAAAAAATATATAAATTGTTTGACATTTTTATGATGACATCAAGGCAATTCCACAATCCTATTCCCAGAATTACAACGCAGCTCCTTCAGACTAGTTCTAAATGGAGGTTTTACAAACATTTCCATTCCCGTAAGGTTATAATGACTCTCTTTATTAACAAATTTTAATTGAATATTTGGGGTAATATATTTTTATGAGCTTTATACATGACTTGTAAAATACTATATTCAACCAAATCATAAAATGTTAATAATTTCAACTGATGAAATAATATATTTGTTGGTTGACCATAGCACTTTCTACTAATAATTCTTATAGTTCTTTTTTGTAAAATAACAATAAGATTTGTAATTGTTTTTCATGCTTTCCCCCAAACTTCAGTACAATATATTAAATATGGAACAATCATTACATTATACAATTTATACAAAGCTTTGTCATTCAAAAACTCTTACTTTATACAGTAATGCAATTAATTTTGCTATTTTTATTCTTAAGTAATTTACATGAGATTTCCATGAAGCTTCTCATCAACACCCAAAAAATGTATTTCATTAACTCTATGAATTTCAATACTGTCAATTTTAAAAGGGACTTCGATAATTTTATTTCTATGTAGTTTGTTTTTTCCAAGTTTAATGATAACTTATTAAGTTGGAACCAAGTTTGTATTTTTACGAATTCTGCCTGTATCATTTCTAACATCCGTTCAATATCTTCAACCGAACAAAAAAACGTGGTATCATATGCAAATAAAACACAATTCAAAAGCCCTGACACATCAACCAGATCATTCAGATACAAAATAAACAACTTTGGTCCCAACACAGAGCCCTGAGGAACTCCACATCCATTAACACAAAATTCAGATCTTACATCGTTTACCTGTACAAACTGTCTCCTATTATTCAAATACTATACTGTCTTGGTTTGCCAATAACCTCATGAATTAGATTTTTTTCCCCACAGTTCTTCACCTTATTAACTCCCTTGTAGTTTTCTGTTACCTGTTTTGCCCGGTAGTTTTCATGTTTTTGTATTTTTGTGTTCTTGGTCCATGGTTCCTCAGCTCAGTGACACTGGTGTTTCCTCACACCTGCCCCTCATCTGCTCATTAGCCCAGCTTAGCTGTATGTTCTCCTGTAATCACTCCTCTCTGTACTTATACGCCACAGTCCCTGTGGTTTGACTAAATGCAACACGAACCCTCAGAGGTTAGCTGTCCAATTTATCACTCGATGGATTATTGTTTTGGTCAAAGTTCTAGCAGCGGGCAGGCAAAACAGATCAGTCTCATTAAGAAGATTTGGCATGGTCTTTTGGGACTCACAATCATCTGTACAGTATGTTTACTGTACAATATGTACTTTGTACTGGATATTACTTGATCCATATTGGAAGGTTTTGTTGTACAGTTGCTGAATAAAATTTTTACCCAATAGTTATAAAAAAGTGTCAAAATTAAATAGCTTGTTTAAGATGAGTTTACAATAATAAATAAAGCAAATATACAGCATCAAATTGCTGCCACACAGAATAAATTATATAAAACTAACCATGTCACAAGTTGAGCTCAGTGGTGTAAACTTTACATTGTAGTACATCCTTGTAAAGTTATTTAGATAGACAGTATGACAACCATAATCCTAAGAAAAAATAGCTAAACTATTTAATTGTTAGTTACTGCTGCCTATTATATAGTACTTTTTGTGATTAAAATATCATTTTTTATCGTTTTGTTAATTACAGATGTTATTACAGTAAATATTTATAGTTATTTTTAAGCATATTACTTTTAAATATATATATATATATATATATATTGGTCATGTTCTCAATAATTAGGACACTTAGGTAGGACATTTGATGCACAAAGTGTGTCAGCTAAATGCACGCCCCACTCAGAAAGACACACACTTACCCCCCCTACACACGTCAGGCAATCCCTTCAGTTCTCTTGATTTTTTTTGGACGTCAGAGCGGGGAGGAGGAACTCTCTTGGCCTTAGAAGAAAAGTTGAAAGAGAGCACGGAAAGCCACTGTCACATCCAAAGACATGTCAAAGAGAGCAACAAAAACTGGGCCACCATGCTTCAGAAGAAGCTTCAGTGTGTTGCTGTGAGTTTAGAGCCCAGCTGAGGCAGGATGAGGTTAGCCACGGCCTGAATGAAAACAGGGTCAGTCTGTGCTAGCAACTTGAAATGTTGACGTAAATTTCATTTTTTTATTCTACATTATTTATTAGATAATAATCACACTTTAAAATAACAATTTATAATGAAGTACAGACCGTTAGGTAAAGGTTCAATCTTGTCGAGGCTGCAGGGTTCGTTCAGCATCGATTTAAATGACACTTCAGCAGGAACAAGCCGATATGCTAAACAGCATGGATTGTTTTTACACAAAACATGAATCCCCACTGAGTGACAGATGGTGGAGGCAGGTATGCATGTGTGTGTTTAGTGCTTTCAGCTTTATTTAAGGTTTCATAGGGAAATGGCAACATTACATGAAGTATTTCTATTCAACTTGGAGTAAAAGCTGCCCTGTTCAATTAAAAATACATATGGCATATCAATATAAATGTTGGAATTAGGTTTTTCATCTTGAATAAGGCATATGTTGCTAATTTTGCTGGATTTTCAAAAAGAGTATCTATACTGCAGTGAGAAGTGTGGCTTTAAATGAGCTTATAATTACAGTGTGTTTGTCTCACAGCGAGACATCTCAGATGAGTTTTCCCTCTCTGACAGTCCAGAGTCATGGAAGTCACGGGTTAAAGAGATCCAGTGTAATTCATCATACTAAGAGCCAAAGGACTTCCTCTGTGTGTGCTCCTTTCATTATCTCACTTATTGGAAATCAATCACTCAAGATCTGGCTGACGTTTGGTTGCCAGGGTGACTAAGCAGCTTCATATTGACAGCTGCCCAAAGAAGAGAGAAACGGTGGAGGCACTTACTTCTTTTTGCTCATGGTTTGTTTTCAATGTTTACGATGCCAGGGTAGATAAAACTGTAACTCACGGGCTTGACCAGCTCAGAGGAAGTTCAAGAAACAGAGTGATTGAAATTATTTTAAAAATAATATTTTAAAGAGAAGATTTAGTTGTTATATCTGCACATTTGTGAGCAAAGGCCAAATCTGTTCAAATACGAGTTTTCCCATTTCAAATATTCTTTATGGTGTAGGTTTTGATCTGAGAGAGTGAATATATAAACAACAAAACAATACACACTAAGCTGTACCGAATTTGGCAGAGGAGGTACAAATGTTCATGAACGCCTTATAAATGGATCTTCTTTCATTTAGAGCTAAAACAGTGAGTCCTCACCTTAGTATTTCTTTGCTTTAGCCTTATAAAAGCAAGCTTTGTGGTAGTCTATAAGAGTAGCCTCCTGGTTGTTAATAAGCAGACCTTATTTTAGACCACCTCCCTCACAGAGCTGACCACTCTGCAATTAAGCTGCTGTCAGTCCTTAATCAGATGAAGGAAAATCAAGCTTTCAGCTGCACTGACAGCCGGCTCACTGTGCCCTGAATGGGAAAAGGAATGTTTTCTTTTTTTTTTAAGATGGTTTCAAATGTCAGGGTCAAGCCAAAAACAAGTCCTATTTGTTGCTATACTATATGTCATGGCACCAACATCCTAAAATAATAAACTATGTGTGTGTGAGCCTTAGTTCATCACACTGTTCTGTTTCTAATATTAGAGTAAGAGTGACCTAACAGCCATTTGCTCCTCTATTTTTGCCTCTTCATTAGATTTGTGATGAATGGAATCAAAATGTAAAACACAGTTAAATGCAGCAGCTTGGTTGCAATATCACTGATTCCAGATAACCAGGTGCGGTGGAAACCACTAAAATCAGCCAGCTCAAGTTAATCGGAGTAGATTTTCTGTCCTTAACTTAGTTTATCTATTAAAGTCCTATATACTGTATATATGCTGCAGCATCACAGTAGCTGAGCTGAAGACACTGAGGGTCTTTTTTGAAGCCAGAAATGTTTATTATGTTCCTTTGAGGGTTTTTAAGCTTGGTGCTCTTGCAAACTGTTTACATTAAGTAGACAATCCTAGCAGTCACATATATCCTTGTTTACTTTAGTAATTATTTCAATCTGTTGTGCACAACAGAATATATTGGTGCGTTACCTCCTGTTTGTAGGCTTCCACCTGTGTGTGTCTTTAAAAAGGGAGGTACATTTTAAAATGTCTTTGAGCTTCACCTACCTGTCTGATTGAGTAATCTTTGCAGGTTGTGTAATGTGAGGCCACGTCCATTGAAACTGTGATCGATGATGCCTCCTCTCTTACAAAAGATTAATTTTGTCCTCCACAGGACCCATACATCTTTGAGCCCAACTGTCAGATGAAGGTGGACGAGTATGGCTTTTTCATCACATGGAAGAGTGAGGGAAAGGTACAGAATACTCTTAGTCTTTTCTGTGTTGTTGTGACACTAAACTTTGTTGAAATCTGGGAAGAAATAAAATAACAACTATGGAAGAAGCTCGTCTTAGTGAATCATATACTGGTCACTCACCCTGTGCTATTTATCTTACGGCCAACACCAAAATCATGCTATAGATATTTAATGTTAAATGGCTGCTAACAAAGAAGAATGTCAACTACAATCAATTTAGCTGTAGACTTAGTTATTGTTCGTACTTACTGTAAAAAAAAGAAGTTATTTTTGTCCCCCGTCATGGAGCGAAGACGATGAATTGGAAATACCCTCCATCTGTCCATGTTGTGAGCATGATAACTTAAAAAATAAGTGAGGTACCAACTTCCTTATTGGTATTGGCTACATCTACATATAAGAAAGGTTCTTTTCAAAAATTGGGTTGCCACGTCAAAATTCAAGATGGCTGCCGCCATATACGTCTAGCCATCTTCTGAGCTGGATACAGTGCAAAGTATTCACAGCGTTTCACTTTTTCCACATTTTGTTGATCATGTTACTGACATATTCCACTTGTTTATGCCAAAGTCACATGCAGATAAAGGCAGGAGACTCAAAGGTAAAAATAAATAATGTTTATTTACAAAAAACAAAGCAACAAACTGACATGGCAGCCAAACTTATGTGAACCAAGGATTTAGAGGAGCAGAGACAGAACATGACACTATGGAAGGATAATGCCCAGACAAAGGAGAAATGACAAGACGCTGACTTATGTACAGGAATACTGACGAGACAGAGTGAAAACATCTGGGGTGATTGGAATTACAGACAGCTGTGACAAGGGCTGAAACACAACGAAGTGCAGGAGCTGAAGAGGACCACAAGAGGGAGAAACACACTATGGAGTGGGGTAGACATCATACACAGAAGCCCCACAGTTACAGCCTTTTTCCAAATTGTATTAAATTAATCTTTTTCCTCAAAATTCTACACACAATACCCCATTATGACAAGGTAAAAAAGATTTGAGATTTTTGCAAATTTATTAAAAATAGAAAACTAAGAAGTCACATTTGTGTAAGTATTCACAGCCTTTTCCATGAAGCTCAAATTGAGCTCAGACACGTCCTGTTCACACTGATCCTCCTTGAGACTTGAGATGTTCTACAGGTTAAATGGAGTCCACCTGTAGTTGATTGGACTTGGTTTGAAAGGCGCACACCTGTCTATAGAAGGTCCCACAGCTGACAGTGCAGCTCACAGCACAAACATCAGGCATGAAGTCCAAGGAACTGTCTGTAGACCTCAGAGACAGGATTGTGTTGAGGCACAAATCTGCTTCTTTGAAGGTCCAATGAGCTCAGTGACCTCCATCATTTGTAAATAGAAGAAGTTTGGAACCACCAGGACTCCTCCTAGAGCTGGCCGTCCATCTAAACTGAGCGATCAGGGGAGAAGGGTCTTAGTCAGGGAGGTGACCAAGAACCTGATGGTCACTCTGTTAGAGTTCCAGTGTTCCTCTGTGGAGAGAGGAGAACCTTCCAGAAGGACAACCATCTCTGCAGCAATCCACCAATCAGGGCTGTTTGGTACCAGGTGAAATCCACTCCTTAATAAAAGAAACATGGCAGCACGTCTGGAGCTCCTGAAGGACTCTCAGACCAGGAGAAACAAAGTTCTCTGGTCTCATGAGACAAAAATTGAACTCTTTGGTGTGAATGCCAGGAGTCATGTTTGAAAGAAACCAGGCAGCGCTCATCACCAGGCCAGTAGCATCCCTACAGTGAAGCATGGTGGTGGCAGCATCATGCTATGGGGATGTTTTTCAGCAGCAGGAACTACAGACTTATCATTTGAGGAAACTATGCTTTCTAGTTTTCATATTGCTTAAAAGCAAAATGTCCTCAAATGATTGGGGTGGCTGAAGATTAATCGAAGGTGGTCTTGGCCATCGTAGATATATAGCAGCATGTTTTGTTCATTGTCCTTCTTATGTCAGTCTGTTTCATTTTGTATTGCTAGCAGATAAAATCACTTTTAAAAACTGAGTACTAAACCACTTTATCTCAGTGCTCAAAGTTATATATTAAAGGTATATCAAGTCGTTTGTGTCTAAGGATCTTATTACTAACAGTAAAGAGTCTGTGGTGATACTCCTGGGTTTACCATGAGACAAAGCTGCAAAAATGTGACTTTATCCTCTGGCTGTGTCTCCACTGACTATTCTAGCCTCCTCACTTCCTCTGCCTCTTTTCTTTGTCTTTCTACCTGTTCCTGTCTTCCTCAGGAGGGCCAGGTTCTCGAGTGTTCCCTCATCAACAGTATTCGTGTCGGTGCCGTCCCAAAGGTGAGACCTTTGGAAAGACATCTGCTTTCACAACATTCACACTTTCAGCTCGCACCACAAGCTCCCCCACGTGTCACATCAGGCACATTATTCTAGTTTAAATTAACCAAAGCTACAGTATTACATTCTGTTTGAAACCACAATTTTTTTACAGCTTTGCTTTGTGCATTTCACCCACAGTGACATCATGAAAGATTGTGTTTCTTTAATAATAAGCTGTTTGTGGGTTAAGGAGCATTCACCTTGAGATCTGCAGCTCACAGGTTTAAGAAGTTCTGTCTCTGTCAGTAACACACCCTGTAACAGGAAGCCGATCCTGAAATAGCCAAGACAAACGGACCAGAATCATTATTCTGTATTTGTACTGGAACCTGAAACAGAACGGGAGTTTATTGAGCAGATATTGACCCAGCTGCACACAAGCACAGACATGTAGGGTTTCTCTGTGCATTAAATATGAACTCATACACTGCAGCTTTGACAGTGACACGCTGTAATGTAATATTTGACTACATGCCATCTATGAATTATAAAAACGATTATTAGGTACTCATGTGGACTCCGGCTTCTAATTAGGATGCAAATTCATTAAGCGAGTAAAAAGTAGCATTACAGGAGACAGTGTAAAAGTTCTGTATACATCTCAGCAGGTTTTTGTTTGTGACGCAGACAGAAGAGACAATTGTTGTCCTCTGTGTGGACGTTTTAATGTCTATGAGTGAGGTCACAGACACATCTGCCTTGTAGCAGAGTTTCTCTTTTGAAACATTACAGGTTCAAATCATCCAAAGAAGAAGAGATGAAACTAGATTTTAAAGCTGCAGAGACGTTGCCTGTTTTTGGTCAATTATTCATAAATCATACGTATTAAATCTTTTTTAAATATCTTTTTTTTGCTCCACTAATTAAACACGACTTTGCTGTTTGATTAGACTTAAGATCAGTGATAATTCTGAAGAATAAACCACTGTGAATAAAGTAGTGATTTGTTGAACTTCACCATGTGTAAATGGCCACATTTAATTTCCCTTTTCTTTAATCATCTGTTTCTCAGCTCTGATCGTTTGTTTCTTCTGATTTCCACAGGACCCAAAGATCTTGTCATCATTTGAGACCACTGGAAAGACGGAGGCAGACTTGGAGGGATGCATCATCTGCATCTGCAGCGGCACTGACCTGGTGAACCTGAGCTTCATGTTCATGGTGGCAGAAACCCCCGACATAGCCAGGGTACAGGCACCTCTCAGTTCCACACCTCATCTACCTGACAAACTGAAGTCATGAATTGATCAGCTTGAAGAGTTGTATTGCAGGATGGTGGTTGGATTGTAGCTGTTTGCACTGCTGCATTAAAGATAGATTGTTTGCTGTTTAAATCTTGGCTGTAAAGCTGTTTCTGTGTGGAGCTCTTCCTGTGGGTTGTTATCATCTTTCTCTCATAGTCCAAAAACATACATGTTGGGTAAAGTGGGGATTTCAAATGAAGTATAAATGTGGTTGTTTCATCTTGCGTGTGTAGACTAAGGACCTTTTTAAAGTACATGTAAACGCCCCACACTTATAGCATCTAGAGTCTTTGAACCTCATTCAGGTTTTCTATGGCTCGCTGCGTCCATCTCGCACTTGTGCTACTTCTGTTTATTTGTTTTAGATTACATTTGTGAATGTTGTGAAATGATGCAGCATTTAAACAATAGCAGCGTGTTGCAGTAGTTCCAGCTATTTTTAAATCATTTTGGGATTCTCATCTGTGCTTCATTTTGTTTGAATCGTGATTTATTTATTTGTTGTTTTATCTTTTTCCACTCCACTTTGGATGCTGTGCTGCTTGCTGCTCTTCCTGCACAAACTGAGAGCTGTTTACATGATGGAGCAGCCTGCTGTGTTCATGAGATCGCCTGCAAACAAGTGATCACACATTCAGCACTCGTTTTTTGAGAGCTGGCAAAGAATGAGAAAGGGAAGCGATTGGAATGCAGTATGGTGGTTTTCTCAAATGCATACCTGCAGAAAAAGACTGGATTTGACAACTCTCTGTACAAACTGTACGCTCTGGAAGAGGACAAATATATATGTATGTACCACGCAGGACGTGTTACTGAGAACATGTGAGATATTAAACTGTTAGCTGGGAGTTTGTGTTCATGCTGAGGAAGTCAGCTGGAAGGATTGGAAGGATGCAGCTGACTTCATCCACTCAGTGTTAACCAGGCTTCAAACCCAAAAACCCACATTGATGATCTCCATCCTGCTTCTACTGCAAATGTCTGTTTGTCTACATATTTATTATTTACTTATTTTTAATAGTCTGGCTGCGGCAACACGGGAGTGCAATTGGTAGAGTTGCCGTCTTTCAGCAAGAAGGTTGTCGCACCAAATCCCGCCTGGGGGGGGGGGGGGGGGGGGGTTGTGGGGGGGTGTTTTTGGGGGGGGGGGTTTCTGGGGGGGGGGGGGGGGCTACACGGAGGGGGGGGGGGGGGGGGGGGGGGGGTCATTCTGGGTTGAGTTTTCATGGAGTGGAGTTTCCGTGCATGGGTGGGTTTTCTCCGGGTACTCCGGTTTCCTCCCACAGACCAAAAGCATGCACGTTAGACTGATTGGTAACTAAATTGTCTCTAGGTGAGAGAGAGAGAGAGAGAGAGAGAGAGTGAATGGTTGTTTGTCTCGTTTGTCTCCATGTGTCCCTGTGATGGACTGGAGACCTGTCCAGGGGCACCACCATATGGGCACCAGTGACCCTGCAACACGAAAAGGAAGAAGCGAGTAAAGATAATGGATGGATAGTCTGGTAGTAATTGGGGGTGTAAATCACCAGCTTTACCACGATACGATATTATTGTATTACATGGGGGAAAACACTAGGAAGGCTGAACAGATGACAAAAGAAACCAGAACTAAAACGCAAGGATCTCAAAATCTAAACACAAAACTAATAAAACAGATTCTCACAGTAGTACATCACAGTAAAGATGGTTGGAGACTTCACCCAGCACTTTTTGGCCCAAATATCTTTTATTAAACTGGGCAAATACTTTTATTATCGTTAAAGATATTTTGGTAACAAATCTACACACTTTAATGCGTCTTTGAATTTATTATCATTATACTCACTTTGTCAAAATGCTCAGAATTCCTGCGTGAGCGTTTCCCACAGGATCTTCACCAGCGTGTCCCACAGAGTCGACTGGAGAAGAGTTGTTAAAATATAAATGGCAGCAAAGAGACAACTGCCCAAATCTCTGCAGGTCTGACAGGAGTTTAGTTCGGCAGATTCGTCTCTAAAACACAGACTGAAACAGTCAGTGTTGTCAAAGCAAGACCATGTAAAGTACCTCAGTTTTACACAAAGTTTGCAGGTTAATAGACCATTCAATTTAATGCCAGATGTTTTAAATGTGAGATTTGTTCAACAAGATAAACATAGAAATATTAGTGAAGATGGAAACAAAACAAAGATGACTCTTAGTGTTATTTTCCAGTTGGTTTACTTTAGTTAAGAACAGCAGTAAATGTATCAGTCATTGGTCTATAGCAGGTCGTGAGGGCCAAAAAGGACAAAATCCTTTAATGTTTTAATGTTTCACCATTAAAACAAGTTTACATTTCAGTGTTGATGACTCTTTGTCCTTTGTTGGCATTGAAGAAAAACGGAATTACATTTAATGCACCAACGGTTTGATGTGGATTAAAATGTGTGGAAAGTTACTGGCAGCTGATCCACGGACAACAAGCACGTTGCACCTTCTGCACCCATAAGGTTTTTATTTTCACTGCTGTAAGAACTGAAGGTCCACCATTCCATGAAGAAATGCATATCCCTGCAGCGTTTTAGACTGAGGTCATCTTAAGAGGAGAAATGACAAAGATGGAGATGGTTTGATCAAATCTTGAAAATAAAGTGTGATATCATGAGATGCAGCACTCAGAGGTGAATGACTCTCAGCTATGACCACGTCAAATTTCAGTTTGCTCTTTAAAATTTACTGAGCTATGACCATTTTTGTGTTGGCAAATTTTGAATAGCTGTGGTAGCCATTTTAAATTGGACTGACTCTAAAGTTAATCAGTTGTGGAGGTACATCCAAAGTTTCATTCAAATCTGTCCAGTGTTTCATCATGAGATATTTTGCTAACAAACAGAGTATACTCCACAGAAGAGCTTCACAATCTGCAGCACTCAATAGATGTCAGCTGTAGGGGCAGCTGTGGCTGCGTGATTAGAGCGATCGTCCTCCAATGGGAGAGTTGGGGGTCCAATTCCACCAGCAGTTACACGTTGAAGTGTCCCTGGGCAAGACACTGAACCCCTCATTGCCTCTGATGTGTGTCCTATCTTTGACTAAATATGATCTAAAACACTGATTAGTCTCTACAGATTCAGATTACAGTAGTCCTTCGATTATCGTGGGGGTTACGTTCCACACACCCCCACGATGAGTGAAAAACAGCGAAGTAGAAACACTATATTTATTTTAGTATTTATACATATTTTAAGGCTTTATAAACCCTTCTCACACTCTTGCAATGTTCTAAACTCTTAAACCTACATTATTTTAACAGCATATGTATACGGTACAGTAGGAATGCACAATATATACGGTACATGGTAGAAAAGATAGAGATTTAGCCTACAATAGAGATCTGTCTTCTACCAGCTAACCGCAGTAATGTTGTGTCTGAAGTAAAATCAGAGTTGTCAGTTTAATCATTACTTTTTTTAATTGAAAACTGCGCAAGTGGCGTTGAAGTCTTTTCTTCGAGAGTTAAGTAGCGAAGCTACAAGCTAACTACAGCCGGCTTGCCTTAGTGTTGCCGTATTCGGACACATGCGCAAAACTCTGTGTTCTGTCGAAATTTGTTTTGTTTTTTCAATAGAAAATTAAAGTAAGCGTTGGTCAGCTTTAGAGAAACCTGCTCTCTGATCTGTGAAAAGAACGCTGTGTTGTGTGATTTTACTGCGAGACCCTCTGGTCAAAGCCACAGACTCATTTTGTGTCAGCTCTCCATTAAAGCAGGAGACGCCCACTAGAGGGTTGGAGGGTGAAGTGTTTCAGTGGTGTTTCAATGCTGCTCTGTTGCTCTTCGTTTCTTAATTAAGAATATTGGAAACTGTTGAGAGTTAACAACATATTTAGTTTAAAACATATGGCTAAAACTGCATATGATTTGCACTGTTTTGCACTACAAGAAAGAAGCCTAATACTTGATTTGTTTATTATTTAAAAACTCTCTGGACCTAGTAGTGGAATTTTCTTAATTTAAAATATATGATGGCAAAAGGACACCCTATGCTTTTTTTTTAAATTCCTATTGCAAGTTTTATACCAAAAACATATTGCGATATATATCGTTATCACCACCCTTCATAATACATATCGTGATATGAATTTTATGCCATATCGCACATCCCTACTGTACAGTAGCTATTGCAGAATTTTATATGGGGACTCACCAGCCTTGCTCCGGTTCTGATCGGCTCTCTGCAGCCATTGAGCACCAAGATGGTTTTGGAAAGAGCCGGACCTTTGGAGAGCCAGCACAAAACCACACAACGGTCCCGATGAAGTCCAAATAATCCAGAGGGATTCAGATGAAAAAAATACAGGTTATCTTCAGAGAAGACACCGGATCTGCAAACAATGCCTCCCTGCTCGTGAGGTCTCATGGGCCGGCAAGCAGCCCTCAGATTGACTGATGAGGCTGGAAGTAGCCTTGGTCAGGTTCTCATCAACTCTCTGCATCTACTGAGCGCTGAAGTCACTATCAATAAGGACCCTTCTTTTTAGTTAGGTTCGGATCAGATGAAAACTTTCCCTCCATGTCGGCAGAACGCAATGGTCAGAAGCACTGTTGGCTTCTGGGTAATGTAGTTATTTTGACTGGCAACACAGTATAGGCTTATTGAAAGAAAACTACAAAACGGTGGCACCTGTCCAAAGTATTATTTTTTGTTAACTTTTAATCCCGTACCGTCCCAATCATCTGAGTAATATTAAAGTTGACAATTGTTGAAAAACCACGAAAGAGTGAGTCCATGGAAGTCGAATCGGATGTAGCGAGAGACAGTAGCTTTGTAGAGATGTAGTAGAGTGCTGTGTGGAGGAAAATGAGGACACCTTTTGTAGTGTAAAGTGCTTTGAGTATCTTGATTAGATAAAAAGGCACTATATAAGTGCAGTCCATTTACCTTTTGTAGACGGATGTCTGATCACTGTGTTCTGCAAGTTTTGTTAAAAATTGTGCAGTAGCTCGTATCATTTTATTATTTTTATTTTATTTTTTGCCTTATACAAAAATGCAATTGGATATTGTGATATTGAACAATTTTTCCCTTTAGGTGGTGGATGATAATTCTTCACTGTTCTGTCAACAAACTATATATATATATTTTATATATATATGTATATATATATATATATATATATATATATATATTTTTTTTAGGGAATTTTATTTGTTGTTTATAATTCACTAAAGACATAGTTTTGTCTTAAGTTTAAGTGTCTTAAATACTTTTTTATTTGTTGCTTGTTTGTTTGCAGAAGTGGATTGAGGGTTTAAGGTCGGTGATCCACAACTTCAAGGCCAACAATGTTTGTCCGATGACATGCCTGAAGAAACAGTGAGTGCCTTTTATATTTTATTCTCAGAATATACAAAGTTTAATGCAATCAGTTGTTAACCTTTCTCTATAAATTGTTGTTTTTCTTTAGTTGGATGAGAATGTGTTTCCTGACCAACGTTAATGGGAAGATCCCTGTGAGAGGGTAAGAATAAATCTATGATGACCCTTTCATTTCATTTTGATGCATTCTCTCATCTTGGTTCTCTTCCATTTTCTTTTTTATTGAAGTATTACAAGAACGTTTGCATCGGGGAAAACAGAAAAAGGGATCTTTCAGGCTCTCAAGGATCTCGGCCTTCCGAGTGGAAAAGTAAAAAAAACAAAAAACTGACGCATCTGTTTAACTATTTAATTTAAAACCCACCTGTAAAATAATACTTTTCTTTTTATCTCCACAGAATGACGAGATTGAACCATCAAACTTCACATTTGATATTTTTTATGCCCTCACACAGAAGATTTGTCCCCGTACAGATATAGAGGATCTCTTTAAAAAAATGTAAGTTCATCGTATTTGTTTATAAAACCATCTGCACCCTCGTCTGTGTAATGTTCGCAGGTTTGAAACATTAGAAGTAATGATAGAATGCACAAAACAAACAGTAGAGCTCTTGCATTTTATTCAGCCTGTGTTGTTACAATAATCTGTAAAAATTATGAAGTTGGAAATCAGAAGGACAAATGTTTCTACGCCTTCTCCTTTGTTGAGATAATCCGTCCACCTCACCAGTTAACAAGATGCTGATTAGACTGCATGATTATTGACCACAATAAAAGGCCACTCTAAAATGTGCAGTTTTACTGTACAGTAGTCCTTTGTTTTTTGCGGGTGTTTGGTTCCCCCCACACACCCCTGGCAGCAAGTGAAATTCGGTGAAGTAGCAACATTATATTTATTTTAGTATTTATATATATATATTAAGGCTTTAGAAACCCTTCCCACACTCTTGCAATGTTCTAAACTCTTGAGCCTACTAATTTTAACAACATACTTATACTGTAGCTACTAAATTTTACTCACCAGCTCTGCAGAACAGGAGCGGCTCTCAGTTCCGGCTCTGTTCTGGTCCGACTCGGTTCATTTCTGCAGACGTAACCTGCAGCAACAAAGCCCACAATCAATGTTGTTAACTCTTAAACCTACTAATTTTAACAACATACTTAAATGTAGCTAATCCATTTTACTTGCGTACCTGCTCAGAAGTCCTCGTGGGTCAGCTACCAGCTCTCAAGATTCACCAATGGGTCTGGAGGTCTGGTTCTGCTCTGGTTCTGCTCCGATTCATTGGGTTCCGTGTGGCTTCTCTGCATCCGCTGGCCGTCAATCAGATCAAAACTTTACCTCTCAGGAAACTGGGCTTCTGGGCGGGGCCTTGTTGCCTTCTGGGAAATGTGGTTATTATGAGCAGGAATACAGTGGAGGCTTACTGAGAGAAAACTACAAAATGGCGGCGCCTGTCCGAAGTATTTTATTTTTTCGTTAACTTTTTACTGTACAGTACTGTCCCAATCACTTGAGTAATATTAAAGTTGTGTGCATTAAACTAATGTGTCCTGTACAATTTTTTTTGTACAGTACAATGTTACAGACTGTACAGCCACAAACCACGATAGAGCGAGTCCACAAAAGTCGAACCGCAAAGTAGTGAGGGACTACTGTATTGGGGGGATCTGGGGGGATCAGAAAACCAGTTAGTATCTGGTTTGACCACCATTTGCCTCACACAGTGCAACACATTTCCTTCGCACAGAGTTGATCAGGTCGCGTTCATACATTTAAGATTGTTGAAATGAACATGAGTGTACAGATGGACAGTTTTATGGTGTAAGCTATTTATTTTTAAAAGTTTCTGATGCACATTAGGAAAACATTTGATTGTGATTTATTGTAGAATATTATAATGACAATATCAGCTGCGATAAATCCAAATATATTTTTATTATTGTGGATTGGAGGATTTTCATATTTGTATTTTTGCAGGAAGTTGGGATTATTATTTTCGTTTGGTTGTTTTAATCCATTGCGATATTGATGTTGCACACACTGATATTGATACTTTAATGCATGTTCAATATATTGCGCAGCCAAAAAGCAGTGTGTAGGAGCAAATCATTTTATGCTTTGTAAGGCTTCAGTTCTGCTGAGGTCTCATGAAGACGCTTCTTAAAGTTAAATGAAATGATTGAACTCAGAAAAAAAAAAAAAAAGAGACTCCCTGATTTTTAAATGTTGTGACAACATTAACTGTTTGAGAGGCTGGTTAGGGTTCCAGCATCAGATGCCACAGTCAAAGTGAACCATCTTTGAACACTTTATTTGGGAAATCTTACACACAACATACAAAAAGAGGATAAATACGTGATTAAAATATTGTTAACAGCAAGTACAAAAGCCGTCCCAAGAACGTGGTATAAAGTAGACCCACCGACTGTGGAGCGGTGGCTGGTCACTGTGGAAGAGATATTTGCTATGGAAAACTCACTGATAAATTAAGACTGCAAGAGGTGCAGTTTAATGTAAAATGGGCAAAATGGACTTATTATAGAAAGAATACACCACCATCACAACTGGATAACGAGCACCCTGGAAAATTAACCTTTGTTTAATAATGTATGTATATTATACTTTTACACTAACTGTTCTAAGAACATTTCAGTAAAAATAAGTAAAAAAAAGTGAACCATCATTGTTCTGCAAAAAGTCCTGAACTGACCCTGAATTACCTCATTGAGCCACTAACCCTGCTTCGTAGTACAGGCCGCCGAAGAACCTAACCCACTTTGAAAACATTGAACAAATACAAAACACGTTTTCACTAAAAGTGTAACCCAGAACTTTTATCGCTACAAAAATCTTCCTCGTTTTAACCGACTGTGTGAATGACTGTCAGGATGTTTATGTTCAGTAACGAACTTGTTTTTTTCTAATGATTCTTTTGCAGCAATGGAAACAAAACTGATTATTTAACTGTAGACCAGTTAGTCAGCTTTCTGAATGAAGTAAGCTCTTTCATCATTTATTAACTTCTCTGTGTATCTGCCTTGAGACCCCCCACCTCTCACCCCATCCTGCTCGGGGTAGAAGTTGCCCTCCAGCCTGGCGCCTGTCAGTAAAACTTCACTGATCAAGTATTTCAGGTGCAGTTAGGCTTTGAGGGCAACTTCCACCAGCTCCCCTCTTCTGCATGCCCCCTCTCATCCCATTCCCCGTGTTCTCTCTATAGCGAGGCTTGCCTGCCAGTGTCTTGATTTGTGTTACCATGACAACAGGAGGGTAGAGGTTTCCTTCCTGTTGCGTCCTGCTTGGTTCATCTAGCTTCCTGCTGTGTGCGTGTGTTTTGTGGCTGAATACCTGCTCGGTCCAGTCTGGTCTGTGCTGCTTCGTGCTCTGGACTCGATTAGATTAATGCTCACCTGTCTTTCAGAGCGGGCGGCAGCACCAGGTGGATGTTTTGATGCTGCTGTTTGCTTAGAGCTGCTTTGAACCCCTCAAACGCACGGTGCCTCCGTGTTTGAACGCATCATTTGTAAGCACCGCACTTGTTAGTGTAGCTCACAGTTTGTTTTTATTACCATTTTATATTTGTCCGTCTTAAAACCTAAATGCTTTCTATTTAAGATAACAGCCTAAATTGATTAGAACTTTTTCTTAAAAACGATCATGTCTAAATTATCAAATATGTTAAGCATATATTAGGAAGGACATATGAAAACGATGACTCAAACAGCAGTTAAATGGTTCTCGTCCTGTTTGTAAGAACTGGTCCTACCTGATGTGGTTTGTGTTCAGCAGCAGCTGAACAGAACGTACACGTAACGTTCACGTGCATTCGTGTGTTGCTCTGCAGAACCAACGAGACCCCAGGTTAAATGAGATTCTGTTTCCGTTCTACGACCCCAAAAGAGCCACGCAGATTGTTGAGAAATATGAAAGGGATGAAGAGCTGAAGAAGAAAGGTGAGAGAGATTGGTGAACAAAAGCTGGAGGCTGAAACAGTTTATCCTCTGCTGCCATCTGCTGGTGAAGTTTGTCACATCTTCAGATTACAGCAAGTTTTCCAGTAAAACAGGGATTTACTGTTTTACCTCTGCCTTGTTTTATCATGACAACTTAAAAAGAACATTTTGTTTAATTTTTGTCTTTCTTAAATGCAAAATAACGTTGTTTTTTTTTTTGTTTGTTTGTTTTAAAACTGCTGTCTCATTTCATGACGCTCCTTTCCTCGTCTCTTCTCCTCCAGGTCACATGTCCAGTGACGGGTTCTGTCGCTACCTAATGTCAGACGAAAATGCTCCAGTGTTCCTGGACCGACTGGAACTGTACCAAGAAATGGACCAGCCGCTGGCTCACTATTTCATCAGCTCCTCTCACAACACCTACCTGACAGGACGACAGTTTGGAGGGAAGTCGTCAGTAGAGATGTATCGCCAAGTCCTGCTGTCTGGATGCAGGTATGCAGACGTGCCGTGATGAGGTGTTTACTGGTAAAGTTACTGAATAATTATCAAAGAACTGTGATGTGAAAATTGAAAGAAGACAAGTACTCATCTTATCTTGGCTCTAAACAGCAACTACTTGAATAAATTTTGAGAACTCCAGAGAACAAGTCTGTTAGTGGCTACAAAGACAAGTCTCTGTAGAACCCGTTATTAAGAAAAGGTGCTCAACTGTGAGGAAATTAGATTCAAGTTAATTGTTTTTTAATTGCTGCGGAACAGAGCAGGTGTTGTGTGTGGTGACATTCTCAACAAGAACTCGGCATCTCTAACTTCATCCTGAACTCAGTGGTTTAAAAAAGTCCCAAGTCCTGCAATCCCTCTACCGAACATTTGTGTCCATCATTTGCCAAGAGAAGACACTCGTTATATGTGACATTATGTCTGTCAAACAACGCAGTAGCAGAGACTTGACAGATGACGTAAAGACACTGATGGACCTCACTGAGAACAGTCTGTAGTTATGGCGGTACTTTAAGAAGTGGGTATGTTCTCAGCAGTGACGTGCAATGAGGTTTGTGACAGATGAGGCACTGACTCTCTGGAATGCTCACATGTATGAACCCTAAGTAGACGATTATATTCAATTAAGCCCCTTTTTAAAAGACATTCTAGTTATGCTTTAATCAATGCCGTACTGTTCAACAATGATGGCAAGAAAAGCAAAATATTTAATGTAAGGTCAAACTCTGGTTGAAAAGTACGGGTTACCTTGTTCCCACTTGTTTGAAGCAGATCTTTCAGCTCCAGAGTTGGTCTTCCTCTCTCTAATACCTCCTGTTTCCACTGAAAATCGAGTTTAGGAAAACCCTTTAGTTTTGAGATATGATCTTCTATTTGTTTAAACAAATTTAAACAAGTGTACTGTTTGCTACACCCCGGCCCCTCTGCATCACTGAAGAACTCACAGCAACGTGCACGTTTCATTGTCCCTATGAGGCAGCACTGCCCCCTATCGGTGCAGCACGGTACTTTCTGCCTCACTCTGTGTATTTTCATTGTGCAATATGACCAATTAGAAAGAAGGAACATGTCACACACATTCATTCAATATATTAGACAGACTGTAGAACATCAACATGTGTAGCACATGTGTCATCACACATGTATATTGATGATATAAAGAGCGACAGCAAAGGGCATGCACCAACTGCCCACTTCATTTATTGTATATGACACAGCGCCCCCAGAGGTGAACCAGAGCACTACACTGCCTCACCTGCAGTTCTTCCATGTTTGAACAGGCAATATGTAAATTCTGCTATTTTGACCATTTGAAGTGTTGAAATAATTCAGAAAACAGTTTTATTAAATAGTTTTATAGAACAGTCAAGTGGTTCAATGTATTTTCTCTTATCATTGTTAGTATTTGACTTGTCATGATGACAGGTGAGGCACTGCCTCACCTGCCTCCCCTGACTGCACGTCACTGATTCTCAGGTGGTACTAATTATAAAAGTTTCACAACTTTCAGCAAACTCTGTGCTTGTCAGTCAGTAAGTAAACTTTATTTATATAGCACCTTTTACAGGTCAGAAACCACCAAGTGCTTTACAGAATAAAAGACATATAAACACTAGATAAACAATAAAAACAAACAATAAAAGATAAAACAACATGCGTGTGACACAAGACAATATAAAACTAATTAAAAGCCAATCTAAACAAATGTGTCTCCAGCTGCTTTTTAAAAGTATTAAGAGAATCAAGGCAGCGCAAAGTCAGAGACAATTCATTCCACAGTCTGGGGCCACAGCCCTAAAAGCGTTATCCCCTCTGGTCTTAAAATGAGTTTGTGGGACCATTAACAGACTTTGACTGGAATCTGAGGCTCCAAGAAGAGGAGTAGGGTTCTAAAAGGTCAGAAATGTAGACTGGGGCTTGACCACTCAGGGCTCTAAAAGTAAGAACTAAAATTTTTAAATGAATTCTAAAACGTCCCGGTAGCCAATGTAAAGAGATTAAAACTGGTGTTATGTGCTCTCTTTTCCGTGTGTTGGTTAAAAACCTTGCAGCAGCATTCTGAACTTGTAAAGACAGAATAATTTTAAAGCAAGCTGAACAGCCTCTGCATTATGTTTGCATGTTGAGTACCTGAATGTAAAGTAAAAGTAATTTTATTTTATTTTTGTTACTTTTGGTCAGATGTGTGGAGCTGGACTGTTGGGACGGCAAAGGAGAGGACCAGGAACCCATAATTACTCATGGCAAGGCCATGTGCACAGACATCCTGTTCAAGGTAAAACACTGAGGTACAGGACGTGCTGATGGGATTCAGGAGTCGAGGCCTCATTTATTATTCTATTTATACATGATTCCTCTCCTATCACCGTACCTGAGATGAGAGCAGAGGATGCAGGGAGAGAAGACCCTTTGACAAATGTGTTTTGATTTTAAACTAAGGTCAATTAAATCCAGAGAAGCTATGTCTATTTATATGTTTCTCCCTGCCCTGCCGCTGTATTTCTGGTTCTATATTAGACAAACTTTTACATTTACTCAAGAAAACCTCATTTTTCTGCAGAATAAAAGATTTTGTTCAAAGATTGATTTCCTGGTCCCAAATATCACGACACAAGAGACAGAATTGCCCCAAAGAGAAGGGAAAAAAGACATTTCTCTTTTAGTAAACTTGCCTGCCCTCTTGTGTTGCTACATGTCATGGCTTCCCGTAACGTTTTAACTCTTTGTTTGTTGCTCCTCCAACAGGACGTCATCCAAGCTATAAAAGAGACAGCCTTCGTCACATCTGAATATCCTGTCATTCTGTCATTTGAAAATCATTGCAGGTGCATGTGCAGTTTGTCACAAACATTGTTTCCTTTGAGACTTATCTGCAGGAATATTTTCTACATATTTGATACATGTTAAATATATTCAGTGTGGAGATATGATCTCTGTTTTTTTTTTATGTGTTATCAGTAAACTACAGCAGTACAAGATGGCCAAATACTGCGAGGAGATCTTCGGTGACCTTCTCCTCAGACAACCTCTTGAAAACTACTCGGTGATTTTTCCACTCACCTTCTCTGATTCATCTGGCCTCTCAGAATTTAAAACAACTCTTTTAAAGTCACAAAAACTTAAATCTCCTATTTTCTCTCAACAGCTTGAACCTGGGCGACCTTTACCTTCCCCAAATGACCTCAAGAGGAAAATCCTCATCAAAAACAAACGTTTAAAACCGGAAGTTGAGCAGCGTACGTATGCAGCTGAAAATTAGTTTGGGTTGTGCTTTTATGTGTGTTTAAAACTGAGGTTTGTGATCGTGCAACACAGGGCAGCTGGAGTCTTTGAAAAAGCACATGGAGGCAGGTGAAACCAACACTCCTGCCATCATTATGGGAGAGGAGGACGACACAGAGAACGGTCAGCTGACTAACAGAATTTATATGTTTGCATAAATATATATATACAGTGTCCCTCGTTTATCACGGGTGTTTGGGACCACGCCCACCCATGATAAGTGAAAAACCGCGAAGTAAGGACACAGTAGTCCAAGTTTAAGTTGAGTTAAAGTTCAGTAAACTTTGTCATGACATGTGCCAGGCTGTAATCAAACTCATCACCTGTTACTCCCAATCTCCTTCCTTAAAAAAACAATTTAAATTTAAATACTGTAACATTTTAAATAAACAACCCATACAGCATGGATTGTTTATTTAAAATGTTACAGTATTTAAATTTAAATTGTAGAGAAGAGTAGCAGGACATCAACAGGATGTCACGCAGCTTCAGCTCTGCAGCACGGAGCAGAAATGTACCTCTTGATCAATTACACTAAAGCAACTGAACATAGAAGTTCTAAAATAATTAAAAATAACTTTTAACACTTTTATATTTTGTGATTATGGTGATTTTTACAATGTGACGTACTTTCAGTTTTTGAAGTTGGAAGACAAAAGTCGGATCAGTGCAGCTGGACAGCAAAGGGTTAAAAAGCCGCAGCAGGAGAAATGTGTGTGTGGCAGAGAAGGAGATCAACTGATCAGCTGCAGGAGGGAGCTTCCTCCTGCACTTGTGGGCTGCACACACGGTGCAAAATCATTTAAAAATAATTTATTTTAAATAAACAATTCGTGGTTCATCCATCAATCAACCAATTGTATCATGTCCAATCTTATTTCGAAAATCCGCGATAAACGAACCGCAAAGTAGCGAGGGATGTGTGTATATGTACACAATATATATATAAATATATACATATATATATATATATATATATATAT